ATGTGTTAAGAATAGAGTCTATAAGAGTAACGAGAAAAGAAAACCTGTTCACCATCTCTTAAGTTCCTCTTATGTGAACACCAAATGGTTGGAGAAGGGTTGTGAAGACAGAATGTCAGGTTCTAAACCTTAAAGGAGCTCAGTCAGGGTTTGTGCATATTGAAAAGTTTAGCCTCAATTTTTCAACTTCGTCGTTTGCAATCCGTGTTAATCTTCTCCATCCTTAGCCATCCTTGTTTCTTTATGGTTTATCATTATCTCTTTGGTGTTTTTCTATCTTATTAAACTGTTATTTTCAGGTTTTCTACCATTTAAAGATAATTTTGCATGTGGCCAAAATAACTCAAAATACCGTGACTGAGCTCCTTTAACTGGAAGCAAGCCTCGCGGCTTGCAAAGGACTGACAGGAGTGTAGGAAGCTGGTCGATTCCCTATGCGCGACTTGGCGTCCAAAAGACCGATAACAATGAAACCCTGTTTAACGAAACTGTAACACAGTTAGAAATATTCCTGGAATATGTGTTTTTACCAATTTGAGAAACTCTTATGGAACGAAATGAAACAATGAAACATAGTTCATATTTTGCATATCCGTTTCAGTGGAATTGTTTACAGTTTTTTAGTTTCAAACATAACGACTTTAATGCAGGCACAATGTGTTCCATGGGAATAACGCATTAAGAAAATAACTTTTTGTAGTGTTAAGTTTTGATCCGCAGAATATGCCACGCAATTTGTTGAGTTCATTCTTGGCTAGAACATTTGAGGTCACTTGATCTTGCTTCTTGTGGTTTCATCTTTACGAATCACTGATTTTAGAAATCGTTGCAAAAGAGCGATTTTCAATTGAGTGTGGTAAAGCCAAAACCGAAGTAATCACTCTAGCCAATCACAAAGGGCACGGACAACACAATGAACCAATCAAAACTCGAAGCAATAGACCCTTTGCACGATCCGGTCACATGGTACGGAATTAATTACGCTGGGACGCAAGTTACGCAGTGGGACTTCCAAAACAAAGGAACTTGTACCAGTCCAGCCCGACTTTCCTTTGTTTTGGAAGTCCCACTGCGTAACTTGCGTCCCAGCGTAATTAATTCCGCACCACGTGACCGGTGTTGTAAATGAGAAAAGACGATTGCCTGCAGAAATACTAGGCTTTAATCACCAAATCTCTGTCCTTA